TGTATGGAATGTTTGCTTCCACATGCCCTTTCATCGACTATGAAAAGTGCCAACGAATTTCGAGCCCCTGCGCTATTAGCGTAGAAGTGACTCCTTTCGTTTATTTTTATAAACTGTCGATTTTTTTAATCTTTAAGAGTATACTATCAGTTAACAGTTAGTGAGCAGTTACATTTTTGAGTGGACGCTTTATTTGCTCGATGTATTTTAAAATAATACGCCTTTCAGAAAGTGTAAAAATAATCCTTACATTTTGTCACATTTGTGGGAGTTTTGTGGCTAGAAAAAGAAGACGGAACATCAACAACTTTGTTAAAAAGGCATACCTTGCCTACTTTGGTATGAATTAAGAAGATAAGGATAAAAAATGGGTTTCCCAAAACAGTGTGTCATACTTGTGTTGAACAATTAACGAAATGGAGTTAAGGGAAGAAAATGCCTGTTGCTGTTCCAACGATTTGCGTTGAGCCTCGAAATTTTTGTAGATGATTGTTATTTTTGTGTATGTGACGTTGCAGGCTGCAATTCCAAAAACTTGAAAAATATCGTGTATCCAAATATCTTGTTAGCAAAAAAGGATCGTTGCTTATCCACCAGGTTTTCCTGAGCCTTCTGTATCAGACGCATTGGAGACAATTGCAGTGATTCAGAGTAATTTCACGAAGAGGACGTCAAGCAGTCTCAACAGTTCACACAAAATGATCTTAATAACTTGTTAACTTAGGTATTTCTCAGGCTGCTGTCAGGATTGCCAATTGCGCGGAGTTCCGCTTTTGGGGCTGGAAATCGGCTCCCTTGCGGGACGAAAATTAACTTCGCAGAATCATCATGAGTGGAAATGCATCAAAACGTGTGCAGTTTAGAGCGAGTTTTCAGGATACGACAAAATTTTCAAAAAACAAGTAACACGTTGGCAGTGAGTTTGATTTTTTAGTTTTTATACATTTTTCATTAATAATTTGTTAATTCGTTCAAATTTACTTTGAGAAGTGACTAATGTTAGTAGTATGTCAGGAGTAAAGTAATTTTAGACTTCTAGTAGGGTGTATTCTAAAAGTCATAGCTTCTTTGTCGTTGCCAGCACGAGTATATATTATATCACATTGGCAGTACTTGCAGTTTATTTTACAACACGTCATTTAAAATTAACTTCAGCTACAATCTTTCAAAAACATTTCAATGTAATATGACGTGATAAATAAAATGATATCATTTGAAAATAATTATTTTATCTGTTACGATATTCCTCCCATCTGCTGTAGTCGTGAGATCAGTCATTACTAATTTTTAAATATTAAATAGTTATAAGTTATATAATTTATATAACTTATGGCAAAAAATGTTTTTCATATATTATTAATTACAATGTTCAAAAACAAAAATAACTCATCAAGAAATCGATAGGATCACTATAAAAAAATAACTTCAACTAATTTTGTTTAATACAAGTTCAAATTTCCTGCTTGAACGTTTTTTCCGGTTTTAAAGGATTTACAGACAAGTAACGGAGTATGTTTGTATGAAGCATCTGGCAATCCTGGCTACTGCTCGAATTCGGGGGAAAGATTACAAGAAAATAATCTCTTAGCTCCAAGATCATTTGCATGGTACAGACACTGAGAAGAGCAATTTGTCCCGTACTTCTGATAAGAAGAGAATCTTACATACTGTCATGATAGTCCTGGATTAGTGAATTTTTGGGAGCTGAAAAATACATTACAAGTGTTTGGAGGTATTTTATAGACTCCTCAAAAGTGAGTATGAAAGCTGTTCTCTTATATAAAGGGAACAAATATCCATCAGTTCAAATTGCCCATCCAGTTCTTCTCATGAAAACATGAGGCAGGTGTGATACCAGTTATCTGCATGCTTCTTGGTCAACAGTCCGATACACAAAGATACCACGTGTCTTATGTCGGGAATGGGACAGCAGAGCACGATCTTACCACTGGATTACAAGATTAGAAACAGAGAGAATCTTGTTCCAGAAACCAAAAAGATTTTGTATGACTGTCTTGTAAACCCCAAAAATGTTCTCTTTCCTCCTTCATTTAAAATTGGGTCTTCTGAAGCAATTTGTTAAGTTTTATACAATGATGGTAACTGTTACAAATATATATGCAAGGCATTTCCAGGTATTTATTAGATCACAGGTAAGGAAGTTGTAAGAAGATACCATGTTAGAAGAGACAATGATACAGACCGAAAAACAAGCATGGGTGGCTTTTAGGGAAGTCATTAAAAACTTCCTAGGAAATCAGAAACATCTAAATTATAAAAATATTATAAAAAAATGCTGGAAAATTTTAAACAGCAAGGGTGTAATATGAGCGTTAAGGTACATTTTGTACACTCTCACTTTATTATTATTATTATTATTATTTTAGAAAATCATGGGTGTCAGTGAGGAGCAGGGTGAAAGATTTCACCAAGACATCAATGAGATGGAACAACGTTACCAGGGATGGTGGAATATTAGTATGTTAGTCTTTTGCTGGTCACTGGCAAGAGATGAAAAATACACTTTTCACATAAAGAAATCTAAAAAGCGTTCCTTTGGAAAGTGAATTAAAAATGTTATTAATGTTCAAAAAAATTATATTATCATAGTGATTAAACATTGTTTATATTAAATATTTTTGTTGATTTATTGAATTTTAAAAAGTAAATGTATTTGAGTCGAAAGAAAAGCTATACTTTTATTATTTCCCATATTGTATAGAACTGACACATGATGGAGCGGATAATAATGCTCCAATCTGCAAATGAGCTTCTTCTATGATGAAATTCTTGTCAGCAATATGTGTTATATGCTGTTCTTATTCATTTTGACAGTTTCTAGCTGCATTGATCATATTGACGATATCAAAGAAAACTTTAGATTTAGATTTATTTAGCAACAAAAACGTATGTGACGTATGGGTGAGAACTTCATATTGTGCACACAATTTCTGCGTGTTCCTCTTTGTGAAAATGCTGTTTTAACAGTTGATCTTAGCGCAGTTATGTATATTTAAAAAAAAAAATCATAATATTCTCTACAAATTTGTTTTATAAATCATGTTTCTCGAGTAAATAGTATCAGAGCTATTTGATTTTAAAATTTCACCAAATGTAGGAGCTATTGGAATCTAGTAATATTAAGCTCTGGCGACCCATTCCCTGCAATTGTTACTTAATTCCCGTGCGTATATGTTCCTAGTGGTTCCCGCACGTCTTTGGTGCGACGTGAATAACTATCGAAATCTTTCGACATTAAATTTAAACATTTTTAAGAGCCACGCTTTTGCTCTCAATTTTCAAAATGACCCTGCACGAGTCCTGGACGCGAATTAGTTTAGTCATTGTTGTGGAATTTGGAAGCGGCATACGCAGAGATTTTTAAAAAATTCTACATTGTACGTCAGATGATATTCATGAAAATCTCTTTTCGTGTACGTCCATGAGAGCGCCAATATGGATTTCGCTAGATGTAACTGTCTGGTTCTATCTCTAGGTGAGAAAGTTTTTTCCAGGGCAATCGTGATTGGGAGTGCTTTTTGATGACTGAACTTTCCCGGGCGTTATTTATATCAGCATCCGTTGTAGATTTTTGTTTAGTTATTTAGTGTTAATTATTTTCATCCAATTATTTAGTGTTTTTTTTCCCTACAAAAAATATTTTTGCCGATCCGGTGGCCGAGATCGTTGAGGCAGTAGTGCCCCAGAGACTTCGGACCGAAAAATCACGTGTTCGAGTCCCGCCTCGGGCATGGTTGTACTTGTGTCCGTCCTTTCACCTCATATCATTTCGTGTCATCCTCACAGTTACCATACCGTTAAAATAGTGGTCGCTAATGACCTAGAAGATGATGCAACTTTAAATAACAAAAAAAAAAAGGTTTAAAGACATTTTATGCATTATAGTTCTCTATAGACACCTGAAATACAGTAAATATCAGAAATAATTAAGAATAAATATTGCATTTTATACGCCGAAAAGAATTACTGCTGCATCACACTAACCATTTAAATTTCACGCACGCCTATTCGAGGGTTACTTTGAAATATTCAGTTCATAATTTCTTTTCAGCAAAGTGCACAGATATATAATTTTAGTATTGTTTAATATTACCATCTCCACGAGTTTACAATGTCACTATGTGACCTAATTTCCCCGAAGGGCGGGCATATTCTCCAAGTATTAAAACGGTCAGGTCTCGAATGGTCTGCGACCAGCGGCCACAATGTGGAACTTCGTCCGTTCGCTAGCTCCAATAACAGTCTGAAGTGCCCTGTCTAGGCATATTACCAGGCTATCCTGTACGAAAAAACAGAACATACAAAATTATTCGTTAAATCACATTTAATGTTAGTGTCCAATTTTTAACATACTTATAACCCAGGAAAAAAGGTATACACATGTCTATAATGACAAAGATGTTAATGTGCCTCCGGATATACGTAAAAGTTCCTTTCGTGGTTTGTTTAGAAGAAATTCTGGGATCTCTTCGACTCCTTGCCTCATTTTGTGTTAACAAGGATCACAATGCTATTGGTTAACTAAAATTGTAATGGTGGTACGCACAATACATGAAGCAAGGGGGCCAGTCAGAATATCGTAAGTGTCAGCTCGATTCCATTCCAGCTTTCAGGAGAAAAATTAGGTCCGCCACATTTTAACCTTAATGTAATGTATAAGACCGTATATATCTTGAACTAACCCCACACTTCACATTTTATCCTTGATCATATACCATCTTTCAGTAACCCACTAATTGCATAGGGTATCCAAATTAGACATACAATCCCTTTATTAAGATGTTGAAAATTTTTCATGAATTAAATAAATACCTAGTAAAACCATCCACTGAATCATGCTTTATGATTTAAGGCGTATCTCAGAACACATCATTTGAGATTCCCATTATGAAAATATTTTTATTTCCATTTACTAAATCATTGGAGTAAGCAGGAAAACAATGCTGGATTAATGAAGGGCAATAAAAAAACACGCAAAATACTCATACAAATATATTTTAAATGCACTTACATGATTGTAAATTTTCCCATTAGGAGCTCCATAACACTTCACATCCACTTGGTTACAAGGAAGTAACAGTGCAACAATTATACTACAGATTACCACTTTTCACTTAAAAAGCTAAGTCATTGTCTATTTCTTTTAAAAAATCAAGGCAACAATTTAAAACACTTCCTGGCAAATATTAGCATCCTTGTCTAGTTACAAATATATGCTTCATATACAATATCATTATACAGATATTTGCAGCTGACACAAAACTTGCAAATATGGTAACATCTGAATACCTTGAACAAAATTATTTAAATGAAATTACCATTGCAACACTGCTTGCTTCACTGAAACATTGAAGATGGTACAGTTCTAGCCATTCACATAAGATGAAGCAATGTGAAAATTGTCCTCCAAAATAAGTGAAATGAAATAAGGCAAAGAATTTTTCTTTAATCTTCGAGCTCCAAATGGTGTGCATTTCTTCTTAAACTCCATTGATCTAAACTACAAAATGAAAATAAATGTTGATTTAAAAGACGTTGCATTTGACTCTACAAACACAATGAGACAACAAATGGAAACAGGACATTTTAAATCTAAATATTTAAATAATACCCAAAAGTCTTTTGGGGAAAACCGGAACATTTTTATAAAGAAAAAGTAAGATATACAGATCATTTCCAGAATGTTATTTTTACAGAATTAACAATTGGAAGAATGAACTTTAAAAACAAAAACGCACATAAGTTAACATCTTGATGAATTACAAGTGTCGCCATTCACGCTTTCAATCTCCCAACTTCTTCAGTCTTCCGAACTGTCTTCTTTCTCCACCAACAGGAAGACTCCAAGTAATATACTATCTCAAATTACAATTGTGTAGTTGTAAACTAATTGAAGAATTAATAACAAATACAGAATTTAAGAAACTCACATGAATACAAAAATATTTTCACAGAGATTAAAATTACTCATTTCCCTCCTTTCCACCCGACTCCTCCTCATCATGACTTGATGTATGCCACGTTAATCTCTCTTCATAAAACTGAATAACGATTTGTGGGCAACGCACGTTTGCTTGGCGTGCAGGTACAAGATCTGCTTCATCGGTTCCTTTCCTGAAACAGTAACAATGGTATTCGGCTTTACAAGTATACATGGCATTAAACAAAAAATGTTAATATTTGAAAACTCATTACTATCATTTACTTCTAATAAGCCAAAAGCATCACATTAATAAACTCATACTGTAACGGAATAAATTTAATTTTGAAATAGTCGCAAGAAAATGGAGGGGAGAAAAACGTTTAATCAACATACTCATTTCATTTGGCAATATATTAATTATACTGTTATTAACTTGCCAAACATATTTAAACTGCAATGAGACACACTCAAATTATAACGCTATGGCTGGTGTACATATTTATCCCCTTTTATCCCAGACAAAAGAATGACTGAAAATGATTGTTTATATTACATCATAAGGAGTTTGGAAATTGCCAAATGCTTGTTGAATTGTACGCACCACAGTTCCATCAGTGTATAAGCAACTAACTTTTCTCACTACATGTCGTGTGGGTATGCCGTGTGACCTGTTCTGAAGCAATAAACTTGCAAGGATTAGTTTACTTTGTTAACAGACAGGGTTGAGCGCTACCAGTCATCTGATTTACATGGAGTAAGATGATAAGGTTCGGTTTTAGCAAACGTTATGAACACGATATCAAGATGTGTCATAGCCTGTCAGTAGAGTTAATGTTTTGAGATTTAATTTATTGGTGATGAAGGTGGTGCCATGTGCGAAGTAATGTGCAGCAACAGCGCACATAATTGTTGGTTGCTTATATGCTGCTGGTTTCCTTATATAAAAATAAAATTTAAGCATACCAAATTTGTTTTGTTTATATACCATTTTACCATTACAAATTAATTTTAACGATGCTCAGAATTAGCAAACTGCTTATTCAACCCTCTTAGGTCAATAAATAAGTTTCATTTTACTACTAATGCCATTTGCAAATAAATTAATCCAGCTTAGTGTTACGTCAAAACGAAAAAAGGGAGGAAAATGTAAGACTGGAGGAAAAGGTATGGTAACACAATTTGAAAAACAAAGAAAATATTCCAGACATAACATAAATCTTCCTTGTCAATATTGAAGACAATTTGAAGTTGGTAATCCACACTTCTCCCCAAGATGGCAACGATTCAAATGAACTGATTTTTCTTGTGCACATGCACTCCCTCTCACATTCATCTATAATAAAATTATGGACCACATGGCACAAATATAAAATGGTTTTTCATTAGCTGAAATGCATTTAAGAAATTTTAAAACCAATTAGCTGAAAATCGACTTGATACTTATATTGGCAAATGAAAGTATTCCAAAAAAACCACGGAAGGAAACCACTGATCACTCATTCTTACCTAAAAAACTCTCTGCCCTCACTGAATCAAAGTAGATTTGAAGATGTAAATCATTTCCCGTATTTCCCCCATTACACCAGTTCACAAATATTTTTGATATCAGATTCCTGCCATATGATGACAGAGCGAGTCCTACGATATGAAACGAATATGACGACAATTAGCAAGTCCTACGAACGATATGAAATGGGAGAGGCAAACGTGATGTTTTATTAGGAGGCATTTATAAAAAAACATCCTGTTACTTGAAATGGAAATTAATCCCCCCCGACAAGAGAAGAGACTGGCTATAAATTTTTGAAGTAATCAGTCAAGTACTTCAATGAACTTTAAGTAATCAGTCATTCAGTACATCAGTCAATTACAAAGGAAGATATTAAATCAACAGTAATCTAACTTTTATGGTTCGTTGTAATACAATACACAATGAGCTGAGGTGTCAGCTGAAAAGGGCTGTATCTACAAAATGAGCCTGGACACAAAAGAGGGAATATTTATACAAGCTTTATGGAAAAACCAATCAGCTCCAAAAAAAAAAGTTCCTGTTCACAGAGGAAACCACCTAAATCAAGGTGACTATTGGGCCAGTATATGTAACCCAGGAATCTCTTTACAGTAAAGCAAAGCAATGAAATACTGAACATTATGATCGTGACATTAGAACTGCTGCTTACCCCTACTTCTCAAAAATTCAGTACTCCATCAAGAATGAGCTATGAAAATACAGGCTTCCACAACCAAAAACAAAAGTTTCTTGACTGTTTGGGAGACCCTACGCCAGTGTTATCGCTGTTACTATGCAAATGCTTAGGCCATCTTCCTGAGACATTCCTTGGGGTGAACAGCCTTGAATGAAATGCACACACTTCACCCTCAGAAAGATCACAATGATTGTATGTAATGAATACATGTTTATTTTTCTTAAAAAATTCTGCTGAATGGTGCAGCCATTGACCAATTACCTCTGAACAAGAAGAAAAATTCATTTTTGATTTTGTTTTTCTTACATATTTTTGTTAATGAAAAACATCTATACAAACACGCTTTTTTCTTATTACAAAATAATTCTATTCCCTAGTCATAAACAAGAACTTCGGGTAGGTATTAGTAATGTCATAAAAAACATTCATAACATAGATACCCTTGTACAGCTGAGCAAGGGATATTCTATTCTTTATGATTTTCAAATGAATTTACATGGAGAGAGTACAATTTTGCAAGTCTTCAATTCCAATAACAAATTTCTGCTGTCAATGAAGCCTTCTACCAGTTAATAACTTGAGAGGTGTAGTTTCATTTTACCTTCACCTGGTTTGTTTTTTTTGACACATATCGGTATCAAAAGAATGAACCACTTTTGGTTGATTTTTAAGAACTACACTATTTTGAAGAAAGATACACAGTAGCATTTTAATACATTGCAAATGTTCACTACAGAATAATGTGGGCAAATTATCTTCAGATTTGTTGATACTGCTGACAAATGAACTCCCATCCCTAACAAGAGCTCAAGAAAACTTGTGCAGAAAGTGAAGTTACGTTTACTGTTCAGAATCAAAGCAAGCGACCATTTCAGCATTTGTTCAAAAGAAAATAAAAAAGGAAAACTGGCCAAAAAACTTGCTCCAGATGGGGATAACAAACATTTATTTATGTTAATCACAATCTCTGAAGATTTTAAGTCAGTTTAAGTTTTAAGACATTTTAAAATAATATATGAGACCTGTTTATGGTGTCCCTGATGTGAACGAAGCTGTGACACCTTTAAACACAGTGTGATTCCTCAACAATTTGAAGACAGAGACAGAAAACCCCAAATCCATCATGCTTTGAATGAATACAATGAAAACAAAGTATGAAGTATGCAATGGCCATTTGTTTTTATGGTACAGCTGCATTGAAGTCACACACAATTACACAACTAAATACTCCAATCAGAGAAGGATCAAAGGAACGCTTATTAGTTAAGCATGCAAAGAGGATGGCATTTGTTGTTTGCAGACTACATTACACCCAATACGGTCCAGCAAATCAAGAGACGAAGACGCCTCCTCAAAAGCCACACCTTACTTACGCCAATACTTAATACATTTACATATAATACACACTACATTTAAAACAGGAAGTCCTTTCAAGAACACAAGCTGAAAAAGAGGGGATCAATGTCCTCAGTCAAAGTCTTAACGAAGCTCACAATTCGATAACAGGGCAGCGTTCACCACTCCTGATACCTTATGACTTTGAAACTGTTTCCTGTTTTAATCCAAATATACCTCCAAGATTCTGAAGAAACATTACACTGAAAACCAGAGACGCAAAAGAAGAGAACAAAGGTGCTAGAGAATCAGACATGAAATCTAAAATAAAATTTGATTTTTACAAGTTGGTGTCAATGAAGTTGAACCCACAAGTCTTCTAAAAACAGTGGCATGTGTGACAGATCTGTGGAGGTGTTAGATGGCACAGTTTGCCTCGATAGTTTTGGAGATGAGCATTTTCATTTTTCAATTCGTATTTTCTAAAAGTTAACAATAATTAGCCAGAGTAATCTTGTGTAATGGCAAGATAATATTAAATTTTAATACAATAACTGCTCCAAAGAATACAAGACTTAGATAATTGAAAAAAAGTTGTGTTGATAATCTTCTTGTTTGTTGGTCTTCTTTGTGGATCTAGAGCAGCTAGTCCCGATAACACAATATACTAAAATAGATGTGGGAACAGCAATATTTAGAATATTGTAACATTTTAAAGTTAACAATAAAAAGCTTGCTAGCAACAAATTTGTGAAATTAGAAAATTAAAACTCTCTACATAAAAGGTAATTGGTCTCAGAATGAAGTAATCCATACTAAAGCAAATAAGTTCTACAGCCAGTGGGTGATCTGGGCTGTCCGGGTGACGCCGCGTCGAAGGCTGAGTTGCCAATGTTTCGACCATCCAGTCGTGGTCTTCCTCAGGGCTGGTATGCCAGCTGGCAAGACCACGACAGGATGGTCGAAACATCGGCAACTCAGCCTTCGACGCAGCGTCACCCGGACAGCCCAGATCACCCACACGATTCTGGTCGCGGAAGCCTACGACTTCAAGTTCTACAGCCAGTAACAATGCAGTTGATAGTTATTTCAGAAATGCCAGTAACAGGCCTCTCACTGTACAATGAAGTTAAAAATAGTTTTACGGTGAGTTTTCGTGTCCCACATAAGTGAGCAAAAATTTAGCATGAGAAATGGTACGCATTTTTAACCATAACTTATACTATGATTTATGCGACTCTGCCACTGGCAGGTATCTACTGTTGACGGTTCCACCCAATCGGGAGCTTAAATGTCACTACAGTGAAGTTACTATGGTGATGTTCAAGCTCCCAATTGGATGAATCTGTCAACACCACATAACTGGCAGGGGCAGAATTGTGAGAATCGCAGTGTAGCAATGAATCTCGTGAGATGCATAATTTTTGTGAAGCAATAACTACTCTAAAATGGAATTAAGATATGCCTCTAACGTAAGTAATGCAGACCCACACACTCCTAACAACAATGGTTACCAGCAAGAAACTGAACAATACTCATTGCATAGTGAAATGGGCTTCAGTATTTCCCCAGCATGTGAAGCACTAAATATTATCATCTTCCCTTGATGGTCTGTTTCTTGTAAAAAAATTATTTGTTTAAGTCATTTATATGAAGTCTAGAACTTATACAAATAATAGAATCTCAGAAGATGCATTGCCAGAAATGACGCATGTCAGTACAACATAATATTGGTTTTGATCCAACATAAGTGTTCTAAAAAATTATATTTAGAATTTTCTTATAATAATAATAATAATAATAATAATAATAATAATAATAATAATAATATAATAACTATACAATATATGCTATACCATAAGATAGTATATAAAATGGAAAACTGGCGTTGCGTAACAAATACGAAGGAAGTATAAAAATTTTAGGTTACTAGATTTTAAACTAACACACTAATTTTCAGTTACAATTATTCTAGGTTGTTCATTCTCCTTCCCCTAAATTTTTTTTTTAAAAGAGCAGCACTGAATTTAGTGCTTCTTGCTAGGAGGGAAGCAACACAGGAAAAGGTATGAGAACAGTAGTGAATTGAGAGCCATGCAGAAGTTTCTAATAATTTCATGACAAGTGACGCAACTGGGTAGTAGCCTCTCAAAATGGCACTCGTTGACAAAGTCTTCTACCATGACAATAATTATGTAATATTAACATTTCCCCAGAAATGGAAGACCTAACTTTCATTAACTTTCCCTGCTGTTGTCTTTGTGACACTTCTCACAAAGGTATGATTACATAAGCTTCTGTGACAGAATTTGTATGGTCTAGAGTATATAAGGCCTCAAGAGCCACAAACGAACTTTTAATATGGTCACGAGCTGTATTTACATTGCTCTGGTGATCCACACCCAACTTCCTTGTACTGTTTATCTCCGCATTTTGCCAGGCTACTCAGAAAAGGGGGAGAGGGAACCATGCGTGATATCAGACTATGCCGTGCATAACACTGTAAAACGCAAGAGACTGCAAATCAAGAGACCTTGAACCTCACTGCAGCATCACCAAACAATATGACTCATTGATCTTAACCCTTAACTATTGGTGTCAGTGAAATTTGACCTGAAGACATTTTTTTCTCTATTTTCTAAGAACACTGTTAGCTACCAAGAATGCAGGTTCAATTTCCACTGGTAAAATTTCTAACCACAGCGTACAATGCAAAATGCCCTTGGCACCATTTTTTCTAAATTGTCATTTATGACACACCAACATTAGGTTCCTGCGCATTTTCATACAGCAAGTGTTAAAGTGTGGCACCTTAGAGATAACTCTTAGCAACTCATCTTACATTATAGGTGAATTCCTTCAAATTGGGTGAGAGAACAATTTGCCATTTTTGGAACATCACACAAAACAAGCCAGACACTCTGAAATTCTTGCCAAGAAGCGAAGGGAAAATATCTCAAGCCTCTTTGGTTTTGCAAAAGAGATGACCATGCCATCTAATGTACCAACCATACCATGATCTGTAGTTATTTCTACTATTAATAAGACCAAGAAAAAGATATTGGCCCTCTGCAGAGGACAGAAACTTAATTTTTTATGAAATTGTATGAAACTGAGTGGACACTAGCTATCGGCTCTATAGGCAGAAGAACAATGTGTGAATTAACTGAATTCTTTATTATGCACACTTGATTTGTTGTTACAAGTATTTACTATTAAACACACAACCCTCCCAAAAATCATATAAACAATGTTTTCTTGAATCAGAACGGTCTGGTCCATATGACTGTCAGTGTTAAGTGATCTCATGGCAGAGTTAAGAATTAATGCACTTCGGTAAATTTATATCAGCAAATCTATACTACCTAGAAAAGTGTCATTTCTGTTAAAAAATTAGAACTTGACAATCTTTAGTACTCACCATTTCATCAGGAACATAAGCTCTCCACTGGAATCAGTAGCACCAATAATTTTTTCTGGCTCCAGTCCTCTGTCAAACCCTCTAGGTTTATTATCTTCCTGTAGAAGCAAGCAGTTACATTAATGCTTCATACTAAAATCACAGGTATTAGTTTTAGATACATGCTGAGATAACTAAATAAATTCACAAACTTCAACATGTTTTTTTTTAGAAGCTGGTTTCTTCTCTTCAGCAGCACCAGATTTACGTTTACGCTCATCTTTTTTAGCAGCTTCCTTCTTTTTTCTATTTTCCTCAAATTCTGAAATTAAATCTGGGCAATCCAGATTTTCCTCCGGCTCCCAAGTATTATCATCACTACAAAATTTTAAATCAAATTAAACAAGTGTTTGCCACCATTACCTTACACCAGTCAATTTATGATTGCTACTTACTTAGAATATCCTTTCCATTTCAACAAATATTCAACCCGACCATTACGCATTCTTCTATCCAAGACTTTCTCTACAGAATACTCTTCTTCTTCACCTTCACCTTCTTCTTTGTCCTTGTTTTTCCTGTTTGCACTACTTGGGCCCTCCACTATAAGTGAAATATCAAAATGTATCAAGTTACAATTTAACCCAATTCACTAATAAATTTTTTTTAAAATAATTATAGATGTCGATTATACTTTTGCGCTCTCCCGAAGTTTCTTAATAATTGTAAGTAACGCAGATACAGCGAAAGAAATCTGGAAATACCGCAAAACACTTACTTTTAGACATTATCCGGTGAATATCAAATGGAGAAAACGACTCCTCCGCAGCACCTGAGCATAATTCAAAATAAATTGGTAACCATATTCATTCAACACCATGCACTGTAGTACCAAAAATTCCGTTCAGCAAGCAATTAAACATCAATACAAATTGTATTTCGGACAGTTTTCACCTTTCCAATTTAAATAAACAAACCACCCTGTCACGTTTCAAATTTGTGGAACGTACAGAATCGCACATAATCTACTCTATCCTCACCTGCGGCCACTTGCTAGTCGCCACCCGCCAAAACGAAATCTTTGAATCCCACACAAACGCCCCCGTCCCACCAAGCGGCTTCAGCAGCTTTGGCGGGATAATGGTGTCGCCAGTGTCGTGATAGATTTCATAGTACAGAATGTACGCATGAAACTTGTCTAGTTAATCAAATGTCCGTTCAAAATAACGAAAAAGAAAACACTGAAAAGTATAAATGCACTCTAGCATTTTTAGACAACAGCAAAAGTTCAAAAACAATATGATGATAAAATTTGTGCCTATGAATAATACACATCTACAAAATTAAGTCAAAACAAACAAAAGATAAACTGATAAATAATTGTATAATTAAATCTGAATTTTATTAATGATTCTTACAGTAAATGGTAACGCATTAAGTCATGTAATTGAAGATGCAGTTGATATAATTCAATTGACTATAAAGAAGTTGTTATTACAAATTAATTTGCAAACTCTTAAATAATTCCAATATGCTTTGGTTTTACTGGCAATTTCTATTGAAAGTGAAGTTCATAATTCTCTTGATTTGTATAAGAATAAAAGAAATAGTATTTGACTAACGTTGTATATCCGTTTCCCATTTAAACATCTTGAACACCCCCGGACACGTATGCAACTGCCATTTTGTAGCAGCGTCTCTTCTGCTGAGGTTCGTCTTGTGAGCTGCTCCGGATTTCGAAATGGTGAAGATGGAACATGAGGTAAATTTTACTATTACAACGATGAAACTATCGAGAAACGTGTTTTAGTCGTGTTTATGAGAAGGTGAAATGTATTTTTATGTAAAAGTATGTGCGCAATTATGTTTAAATGAAGTCTTTGTATAGGGGTCCCGGTTGGTTATTGTTCGGGAATTGCTGGGTCTAATTTAATAAATTTTAATTTTCGTTAATTTCTGGATGATAAAGAGAAGTCTTAAAAGCAATTTCGTTGCAAAAAGCTGTAACTAATGGTGATATTCCTCGCTACTTTTTGTTTCGGTAGACATTGACCCTCCCCCCTCTCTGAAATTGCCACGTAATGGAGTCGTACTATTCCCTTACTTTACTTTGTTTTAGGATGGCAAAAACGAGCCTGAACACGTCCGAAAATTGTTCATTGGTGGACTTGACTATAGAACTACCGACGACTCCTTAAAGAAGCATTTTGAACAATGGGGGGAAATAGTTGACGTGGTAGTCATGAAAGACCCAAAAACCAAAAGGTAAGAGAATTAAAATTATTTAATCACTTGGAACGAGTTGAATTGGAGGGATAACGTGAACATATTTTCAGATCTCGTGGATTTGGTTTTATCACTTACTCGCGGGCTCACATGGTGGACGATGCTCAAAATGCTAGACCACATAAAGTTGATGGAAGAATAGTAGAACCGAAACGTGCAGTCCCTCGCCAGGTAAGATAAATAACTTTATTTCCTCCTCCCTCCCGTTTGTTTTTGTCTTATATTTTGTTTCTCCCACATGTTCCTTGCAGGAAATCGGAAGACCAGAAGCTGGTGCGACAGTAAAAAAACTTTTTGTTGGCGGTCTCAAAGAGGATATGGATGAGGAGCATTTGAGGGACTATTTTAAATCTTATGGTCATATTGTGTCGTGTGCTATAGTCACAGATAAAGAAACTGGAAAGAAGAGGGGATTTGGTTTTGTGGAGTTTGACGATTACGATCCTGTTGATAAAATTTGTTGTGAGTATTTTTATGCGTAAATGTAATTGGTTTACTGAATATGTTGCTAATTTTTTATTTTTTTCCCTTAGTACAAAGATCACACCAACTTAGAGGGAAACACATAGATGTTAAGAAAGCTTTAAGCAAGGCAGAAATGGCTGGAGTTGGAGCAGGAGGAAGAGGAGGTGGCCGAGGTGGTCCCAGAGGATCTGTTGGTGGTGGTGGAGGTGCTGGAGCTTGGGGAGGTCCTCGTGGAGGTGGTGACTGGAACAGTGGAGGTGGATACAGCGGTGGTGGTTGGGGAGGTATGAAAGACTTACAATTTGTTTTAATTGCCACATTGTTTGCAATATGTTAATTTATTTTATTCTTTAAGGTGGAGACCCCTGGGAAAGCCAAGGTGGTGCTAGTGGTGGATGGGGACAAGGAGGTGGTCAAGGCTACAGTGGTGGGGGAGGAAACTGGAGTAGTGACAGCTTTGGTGGTGGCTACCAGCAAAACTATGGAGGTGGCCCAGTCAGAGGCAACTTTGGAAGTGGAGGCAGACCAAGCCCCTATTCTGGTAAGAAAGAGCCAAGTTCCTATTCTGGTAAGAAAGAGGTAGTTTCCTTTTACTATGTGTATATGTATATACAATTCTCCCCCTTATCATTAAAAATTGTTCAGGTGGTGGTGGAGGCGGCGGTGGCTACAGCACTGGTGTGGGAGGAGGATATGGAGGTGGAGCCCGGCGATATTAATCTCTAAATTGCTCTTTTACACGCCTTAATATCCAGGTATGTCCTTTTTTTCTTAAATGCATTTTCCATATGAACAAGCACAATGAACACTATTCAGGTGTTGTCCAGCTGTAAGTTCCATGACTGCTTAACATTACTTAGAAGATAGTGTTGAGTATTCTTATTTGATTTGAATTGGGGGTCTTTAGATAATATAGTTTAGTATAGCATTTTTAATTATTATTGAGGAATTAACTGACATGTTTTGTGCATTTTTTGAACATATAGGTCCTACCATACCTTAGGCTAACTGACAGGGCAGGCATAGAAAGGAAGTCAGTGCAAGGCAGAGGCAGGCTATATGAGGCACAGGGTGGCAGGATTAGCAAGCAGATTAGCCAACCCCGATCAGCATTCGCCAGGCATAGGAGAGACACAGTATAGGCCAGCCTTACAGCCCAAAGTCACATCAAGACACAAGTGTTATTTTTATGGTCAGTGGTCTGAGGTTATTGTTGAGTTGCACATGAGGACAATGTTGCTAAAGTGCACAGCATAAAAATAGGCTCTGGATATTTTCTGCACTTATGTGTAAATGCTAAGCATTTTGTGGGTACCTATTCCCAGATGAAATTTTAATTTGACACTTGTATTGTTCCATTTTCTTTCTGGCAGTACAACCTGCTTGATTTATCTTAAAAGGAATATCACTAATAAAAATTCTATGTGACTGTAGGTTGAATTGTAATTTTGTTTAAAGTATATTAAATGTGGCAGTTTTAGTTAAGATTGCTTATTTTTCACTCATAAATCCATTATACCACTTATTGTATAGCAGTATTAAGGAAGTGTGTGCAGTATGACTAGGTTTTTTGGGTCATTTTAAGGTACATTTCAAAATTGTCGTTCTTACCTAGTTTTGACTGCATAATTGTCATGTGAGGTGTGTCAATAAATGTTTACTTGGAAGAAATGTGTCATTTAATTAGGTTAGGATCATAGTATTTATTGCATTTATTTTTGCAGAAGGTATACAGGGTGTAGGTACATGACTAGTAACTGATTCATAGTAATACTACCTACTTCCCTGAGCTTTGTCACTTGTGTTCAGTGAGCAAGACTTTGTTCTGTACAAAGTACACCAGATGTGCTGAAGTGCTTACTTCTGCTTGTAATGTGGAAAGTAGCATTTCAGTGATCTGCATAATCAGGTTAACTGTATTTTAGCAGAAATTTTGTAGATCTCAATTCACATTGTATTTAAACATGAATTAAATATATGTGTGAAGAGGCTGAGTTTTCATTATCCAGTATGTATTACGGATTTACATCATGAAGAAATATGCAGTGTAGGTACTATTGTGATTTTTTTACACCTTTACCAATGTTCTTGGAAACTACTACTAATAACATGCTTTTCTTTCTGTTGGAGTTGCCATGTGCAAGATTACCTAACCTGTTCCTGAGGAATGGTAATGACAAGGTAGGTTGGAAATTGCTACTTTCTTTATGAAATGTAACTGGCAAATAAAAGTGGCTGCATTATAAAGGTCTTTAATTTCACCACTCAAACCTGTCCTGATATCCATACACAATCCTAAGGCTGTATGTGAAAGATCAGACATTTCAATTGAATAAGGTCTGATTTTCTGGCTGATACTGGGCCCCACCCAATGGCTGTAGTACATGACCTAAAACATCCTACAAATTATTAAGTCCCAACACTAAAATATACAAATTTTCAGGTTTACTTTTTTTTTTCTTAAATTTGTGTCCCCCAACAGGAAAAGTGTGGGAATTAGTCCTTGCAATGCAGGGGAGTAATGTATATGCAACTTACAAATTATAAAAAGTTGGAAGTTTTCTGCATTTCCTCAATGTAGGAGTAAAGGTACCTTGTGCAGTCAACTTGGAATGTATGGCCTGAGTCCTGGTCTAAAGTTTGTCTCCATTTTAGCAATGTCTTGTTATTCTATGCAATCTTCATACGTCAGCAAGGGTATGTGGTAAGTCCAAATAGACAGCCCAGTAAAGAAAGTTGAAAAATGAGTGCTGTTCTGTAGTGTCTATCAAGAAGCTATGTCTACTAAGAAATAGAACAATCCAATAATTGTGCTATGTGTAGTATAAAATTTAAGTATACTGCATGTTTGTCTACTTGTTAAAAGGTGAAGAAGGTACACTACTTGGCCTTTCCATTATGGTCAATGTTGCATTTGAAATTCTCTCATTTTATACTAAACATATTGCATCTTTGTTGGTAGGTGCCATGTCTCCACTAGGAAACAGAATTAACCTTTGCACTAAGTTCTTTGATATCAGGAATTTTTTTGGAAGAGAATGCATATATAGAACATGAAAGCTTTATAGGAATAAATCACATTGCAACAAAAGGATTTAAAGATACTCATAAAGGGACATGGGTGTTAAGCATATACCAAACCCAATCCATGTCATGTTACATTCAAAAGAGGTCTTTATTTTCCCATTATTTCAAATATCAGCTTGATGCGATTGGAAAAGGATGGCACCAACATTCTATTTGTCCATTTTCACAAACTTGGATGCATTTTTTTCCCCCTCGGTAACAGGGTATTTTCAATTATTTACACTTAGCAGTACGTTGTTTACCTGTAGTCAGACTTTGTATTTAAAGAATCCAGATATGGTATGAGGGTTAACAGGTTCGTGCAATACAATCACTGAACACTCATTTCACTTCATTTAATGTTTAATATAAAAAGTACAATTTCTTCATTGATTACTAAGTTCCATGAACTCCCTAGACTAGTATTTTTGGCTGAGATTGACCAACTTTTATTTTTATATACTTGAAAGAAGTTTCTTTACATTGGAATAGTTTGCAAGCTTTCAACTGTAATTCACTAAGGTGTCATAATTTGCAGATATTCAGAGCACTGACTCCTTAATTTGTATTTAAAAACTATTGAACCATACTAATCCTGGCACAATTGATACATCTCAATACCATTGTTATAAAATCACATTAAATATTTACAATAAAATAAAGGGTAACATGAAAATGAAAATTACAAATCACACTAACAAATCAATATATTAATCTTGCACATTTCACAAATCATCTTCTAGTCTTCACATAGTTTACTGTCCACTGCAATCATTTCACGTTTGCCTTTCAATGCGAAAATCATAGTGATACTATGGAAATTAAAATTATGATTAGATAATTACTTAAGTTTATATTTTCACATTGCAGACTTTCTTACTTACCTCTTGATCCAATTGGTATTTGGTTTTAGATTTTATCACAGGTAACTGAGCCTACACAAGAGAATTTATTAGTAATTGAAAAGAAATCTTCATAAAAGGAATTGAATATAAGTACTTACAGAGAGACCATCTGGAAGCATAAGAATACTTGAACTGAGGACAAATGGCACACCTTCTAAACCTGTTAAAAATTGTAATACAATTTTAACATTTATGCATATATTTATTGAAAGACAAGATTTATTGTAACTTTGTGCACAATGTCACAATGCGCTCAAACCCTTTGGTATCCTATTAAATTAAACTCTTTCACTAAAAAAAAACAAAATTCTAATTACTATTACTGGGCTACTTTTGATAGGTATCTAAATTAAAAAGTTTTCAGTAGGACCATACAATTCTAGATGTTTCTCTTTTATACTTGTGAATTGAAATCTTTCAGAATAGAAAAATAGTAGTAGGTAAATATTCTTTAGCCCTTTACATTAGAGTGGATTTCAATTAACTCATTTCATACAATGTTTTCCGTTTTTCTCCAGGCTTGCGATGCCAAAACTGTGGAACCAAAGTGAGCACATTTTTTATTTCACAAAACTGCGTCAAGGATGCATGTGTAATTTATTTACTTACGAATGGCAATTGTCCAAATTATTATATGTAAACAATTCTAAATATATGTGAAACTAAAGGATTTATGGTGAGTACATTTAAATCAAACTGAATTTTAGAACAAAACTTAGTTCTAAAGAGTTAATACTGCCATGTGGCAATATTTTAACAGAAGAAATTGCAATATTCAGAAAAGTAAAAGAATACAGTTTGTTTATGTACAAAATTTCTTATAAAAATTAATATATCTACTAATCTGCGTTTAGCTTGTGTTTTTTAACTGAAAGTGAAAACATTTGTAAATTTGCTTGCTGAAATATATTCAATCAATCTTTAACATAGAATCTTTATTCCTGATCTATTTAGTTTTGTTGACTTTTGCATGTGTATTTACAAACTTAACTGTGTGATGGCAGATTGCCAATAAATATTATATAACATACAATATGTGTTAACAAATATTGCTGTTATAACCCTTAAAAACCTCAAACAATTAGGACAAAAATAGTACTCCCTCCCCCTCCTTTTTGAAAGAAAAGTATGGGATCCCTTGGATTAGGACAATTAAGTGCAGTTTCTATGGTCAACCAACATCTCCAGTACCTGAAAACATAGTCTTTCAAATATTCTCTAAAAGTTGTGTTCAGTGTTTGTATAGAATTTGTGGTTTTTATGAGAACTTTCATGATTGTAGGAACTGGAGTAAAATTCAAGTTGGAAATGCATTATTTAATGGCAATGGATTTGGTCAGTCATTAAGGGGATTAAATTCAACTTCAATTAACAGTATTGTTGGCAATAAATGTAGCAAAAAGTGATTTCCCTTATGAAATGGGACTCATTCTAAGAATTTAGGATCAATATAGTTCTTAATAAAGAGATGTGAATTAAATATTTTTGTTTTTAAAGATATAATTTTACACAATGCTGAGCATTGCTTGAAGAAATTCTGTAGCAAAACTATTTCCATTTTATTTTGTCATATTACCTGCTTTTGTAACCATGTATTATTGTTCAGTATTAGTCTCCCTTTTCGTTTTATATGAATTGTAATACAATTAATAAATATTTGTTTTTCCTCTTGGGTGAGTTTAATAATAGCATTGAAGAAAGATAGCAACTCCACTTATTTCCTCTATGGTATTAACATTTAACACATAGTACTCCACAACAGTTCTCCCTACTCTTTTTGGCCACATGAATCAATTGATCAGTCTAATTTGAGGAGTAGATGAAAGAACTCTTTAACCTGCACATAAGGTGGACCATTTAACTGCTCCAATATATTGTATTCACTAGTTTAGTGAGTCTTTTTTATAATCCATTATTGTTACATAAACTCAAAAGTTTTAGGTATGATTCTTGTTTTGTTGCTTATTTTGAAGCGACTATTTCATTCATATGTCCACGTAATAAGAAACCAATGCGAAGCAACAATATATTCAAATTAAATCAATCCCAGATATCTATAACTTTGTTTAACTTTTGCACTCTCCTGTAATCACTTTGTTTACTTTTTTAAGATAATGATAGCAAATATTTTAAGTCAATACTAGCTTCTGAGCATCAACATTATATTAAAAATGTGTTGTTTTGGTAATATTTAAAAATCTTAAATAAAATCTATTATTAAAGATTCAGTGCCTAAAAACAGCAAAAGAAACAGAAAATGTTTGGAAGCAATTTCAAGAATTTTGTAAAGAAAGAAAATACCAATGGACAGCACAAACCTCAAATGAAGAAGTAACACGTATTTTGGGCAATAATATGCACAGATTAGATGGTGAAGAGTAAAAAGAATATGCTATCATAACTATGTGAAATGTTACAACCAAAATTACACAAGAAAATACTTTAATTAGTATGCAAGCAAGTCCAATCCGTTCGAAATTGATGAATCCAGCTGCCAATTCAGCTTGCACATCTTCCATTTTGAATACATGAAATCGAAAGACATGGAAAACTCAACTTCCTAAAAATTTAATAATTGTGTTTTGAATACATGTTCTTGTAAGTAGTTTTGGTATAATTGTTTTTGAAAGTTTTATTACCATAATATCAAAACATATTTGAAGTTATTTTCTGCATTAAACTCATTCATATTTTAATTGTTTATAAGTTATTCCAGGAGACGGTGATAACTCCAAGCTGAATGAAAGTTCAACATATTCCAGTAGCAATTTTGAGTAATATCTCTTTTTCACAATTCCTGTGATTTTAGTTATCCACTCGATTCATGTAATGTCTTAATTCGTGAAATAGTCACACCAAAAATCACTCAGTGCTGTGATATTACTTATGATAATTTTTGTTCTAGACTTGTGATAAAGAAACTTCCGAAAACTCTGTATTAATCAATTTAAATTTAGTATCATTTTCTTATCTAAAGTAATAATAAAAATGCTTATTTTATTTCCTGAGTCCCATCCGAAACATGTAATGAGTTTTATAATCTCATGAATTGGAAAGAATATATGGGAATATACAGTAATGGTTTATGACATTCTGTTATTTATATTTCATTTATGTACATGAAAGAACACTTTTAATGGAGAGATTGTGGTTTCATTGTAAATTTCCAATGAAATTTACAAAATAAATGTATTATCTATCATTTACCCACCAATGAAGGAAAATTGTAAAATCACATGCGGAGACTCATTTTTCTCTGAACTATTAAACCATTATTCCAACCAACTCCTCAATTAATTTCCTCTGCACAAAATTTCACAGGTTTAAAGAAGAAGAAAATTTAGAGTACAAGTTATTTAATAGTACCTATCTAAAAATAAGAAAACATGATGTAAGAAATGGTTTACAACTTACCACTGTATGTTGCAATTGTAGCATATTTCCCAGGGGATACAGACTCTCCTATATTTCCTGGTGGTTTAGGAGCAGGTCGTGAGGGCTTCAAAGAAATTTGCATGTAATCTAAAGATGGAGACTCAACTGGAGCAGGTGGATATGCCACACCATTCAGTGCAGGTTTGGGATACCGAGGAGGCACCGGAGGAGGACTTTGCGCACTGTTCTGGGTAGGTGTAATGCTGAAAATAGAAGTATCAGTACAATTTGTCAACCTTTATTTGGATGTCTTATCTGAAAGTGCAGGTATTCACTTCTATTCAAGGAGACTACATTTTTTAACAATTGTAATATAATAAGTTAAAGGGACCAACCTGTATTTAAGTTGACTAGGTGATATGGGTTTGTTGGCTTGTTCATTATTAATACTACCACATTTGTAACAAATAGTAACTCCATTTATGTCTCTGGGGGAAAAAATTACCATCAGTAAGACAATATCAGTCTTCACAAGACCTATGTGCCTCAGTCCATACTATGCTATAAATAATTTAAATTTACCCAGCTAAAGAAAATCCTTCAGGAGCCCGTTTCATGCGACTTAAAATGATAATATCTGTTACAATGCTCTTTGCAAGGGAGGGTTTGCTTAATTTGTAGCAAAGTTGTCGTTTGCGCCATGCTCGTTGTTCTGGAGGGAAAAAAAAACATTTCAGAACTCACAGATAACATTATCTTAGAACACTTCCATTTTTCTTCCTACATGTTGTGTGTAAAAATGTTGAAACTTTAAACAATAGACAATAGAAGCACTGTACAATCTATACGACATAAACACAAAACTCAGTACTGCTAGACAACACCAAACTCAGCTACTGCTAGACAAATGAATTCCTCCAGTACTGCATCAAAAGATTTAAAATGAACATTTTTAAATTTCACTAATTATGACAAGTTAACAAGACTTGCAACCCACAACACTTGTTTCAATGTATGCAAATCCTTAAAATGCAGTTTCTGTGTCCCTCGTAAGGCACAAGTTATTTCTCATGTAGCAATCTTACAAAATTAGGTCGTTTTGGACACACTTTTACATTTTTGGGTCGTAGCGGGGTTCAACAGAAATGTTCTGAGATGGGTTCAACTATGAAGATAATGTTCAATTCACGCACTTGCTATCAACATCAGTTCATTACTTTTTTTAAAAACATTGTGTAAGAAACAAAAATCTGTTCACATGTAGCCACATTGTGGGTAGGAATAAGTTAGAATTGATTCATAGCACCAAGGGTAGAGGGAGGGGCTTCCCTTTCAAATACATCTAATTTTATTCCAATTACATTTTTAACTAAATACACTCAACATAACACAATTAATTTAATTTATGTTGCATTCATAACATGATATAATAACATAGTGACAAAATAAGTTTTACCAGCCTTCAAAGAAGGCACCAGACAATGCAAGAAAGTATGTTCATGATCAATGTTAAATCTGGCATAGGTAAAGCTTACCTTTGAAAGGGAGTGGTGGTAAAGTAAACTCAAGCAAAACAAAAATATATAAGAACACATGGTATTAAGTACATATTTTTATTTACCTGAATAAAAATGTAAGGAAAGGTAAATTTTTAACTCTTGTGTTTTTGAACTTGAAATATATTTTTTTATTTATTTAGTGTAGAAACCTATGTGTAACATACTATGGGAAGAAGTGTATCTGATCATCCAAAAGGAAAGTAATATTAATTTATTTTAATGACATTTAATGTATTATTTACCATTTGGATTGTATAATTCTAAAGAAACTGTCAATGACCCCCATCTCGATCACGTTTTCGTCCAGTTTCATTGTTCCTTGGGCAAATGCTGAGATAGCCCCTTGTTTTGCTTCTGGACATAAATGTAACTTCAAATTAACTTTTTCCCATAGCGCATCACACACAGTTCTTTTAACTGTTTTGACATAAATAAATCACTAATGTATTCTGTGCACTTTCCTTAATTCTGGGATCACTACACTAAGCCAGTTGAATTCTGAATAGAGAAGGAAATTATAATTTTTGGCAAGAATTGATAAGAAAATCTTTGCTCTTATGTAAAAACTATTTGCAAAGACCAATCAGCTAAGGATTTTGACTAAGGACCTTGTGCTCTTAGTGAAGGAATCGACTTCCTGTCGCGACAATGTCGAGAACAATCATTTGAATAACTATATTTCCCACTGAACGTTAGAAGTTGTGCACAGATAGTGAAGTTACACATGTGTCCAGAAGCAAAGCAAAGCAAAGCAAAGCAATACGAAGCAATCTCAGCATTCGCTTGAAGGATTAGGGAAAAATGTTTTAAATAACCTGATCCAAGCAGAGGTCATTGACCAAGAAGAAAAATTAACATAAAAACAAATAAGCACCCTATTTACACAATCCAATTGCTTTTGTAAATAATAAACAAATTTACAAGTTTGTTGCATTGCACATTTTTGGGTAGAAAACCTTTTTTGAAATCAACTTGGAGTGCTTATTGTGGCTCAACCATTCGAAATATTGAAGGTGTTTATCATATCATACCATCAGTGCTTTGGAAATTGTCGATAAATTCGCGACAAGCTAACAGAGGGGATTTATCTGAGAATTTCCAGAACATGAGCGGTATTTAATAGCAGTATTTCATGAATGAAATTTTGCAACAGTTCCAAAATGTACCAAATATTGAAAATAACTGAAATCGTATGTTAAAATCAGATGTTATAGCACATACGCTGTTTATTGGACATCGTCATAGCGATTGATGTATACCGCCTCCTAAGATAGATGAATGAGTTTATGATTGGTCAGTAGGTAGAAGTGGAAAGAAAAATCAGATAGAACAAGTGATAATCTTTTTGAGATATACTGCCCGGGTTGGGGCATTTTGAAAGTATAGTTAAACACTATTAGTTTTAATTTCAAGAGTGTAATAGATAAAATATGCTTAAAATTTACTTAAGAGCCTATTTTCAAAGTTTCGATGTATCCTCCCTGGGCAACCTGTACTATATACACATGCATAGTACATATAAATTTAGATTTAGTCAAAAACCAGAAAAAACTGTATGTGACGTATGGGAGAAAAAATCTGTGCACGTTTTCTTGAGTTCCAGAATCCCTTCCCATCATTTTAACTATAAATAGCTGAAAGATGAGCAAAAGCTTAAAATAGTTAAAAATAAATTTAAAAAAGCAACATATACACACGTATACATGATGAGGTAATGATGTAGTTTCATAATGTGATACATTGGAGGCCTTTTTTGGATATTCTTTACATGTGTGAAATTACCGTTGCTTGTCTATATAACGTATTGCAAAAAATGCGAGAAAATATGTCCACTATTAGTTTGTTATGAGCTGTTGATATTAAAAAAAAAATCAACATATTCAATACTGACACTTATCAAGGGTTATAGTTATACTTCGCAACGCGTCTCCAAGCCCCTTAGGCCGTTAAGCGCTTTGCACTTGGAGTAATCCTCTATTAACATTGTCTTTGTCACGTCTCGTCGCAGGCACTTCACAAGAGGCCGCCAGGGGACATTTCCGCAGAGGCGCCTCCTACTCGCGCACCAGCGTCACTAGCCAGCGGCCAGAATAGGGAGGATAGGGGTAGGGTTTAGGACGGGTTGGCAGCGGAACTCGTTTTGTTGGAACACATTTCACATGAATTGCCCGGGAATCGAACCAGGATCTTCTTGGTGAAAGGCGAGCGACTTCGCTCTAAGCCACAGAGCCATCTAAAACATCGAGTCCGTTGACATAAATCAGCTGTTACTGTCTAATTCAATCGGGAGCTTGGATGGCACCTACAGTAGTAACGTTTAAACTCCCGATTGGAGGATATCGTAACAGCTGATTTAATGTTAACACACTAAATAAATCGAAGTATACAGACATTAGCATTTGCTGAAAATACATTCCCACCCTTGAATAAGACATTTTTGACAAAACAAAACACTGATTCGTAATCCAAGAGACAAGGTGATGGTAAATTTTCTTGATTAATGAAGATAGGCACAAGCAGGCGCAGATCCACGGAGACAGAAATTCCCGTCCCTAAAAAAATTCAGTAACTATTAATTTTGACTTGTCACAAAATTTTTAAGTAAAAATATTTTCGGATAATTATTAAAACGAATGAAATAGTATCGCAGCATGAGCCGAGTGTCATCTGCGACATTTCACATCTGTTATATGTAATGGGTTATCACAGGGATAAACAGAAACAAATTTACTTAGCAACAATGGGAGCACAGAAAAGAAACATGCGAGTTAATTAGAAAGAATACTAGGAAAGGTCAATATAATTGATAGCGGGGAAATACAAAATATGTTGATAAATAATGCAGCGAAAGTGAGCAAATTTCGTGGGGGAGAAAGTAATTACGAAACAAGAACCAAAGAATAAACAGATTCTGTGTTAAAATGTGTGTGACCAATCAGGAATTACATGTGTCAGAAGAATTAAAGGGTATGTAGACTAGAAACAAACTGAAAACGCGTTTGAGTGCAATTTCGCTCAGATCAGAAACAGATGAAGGGCGCGCAAAATAAACAAGCAGATGCTGTTATGACACGACGTGAGTCGGATGTAAGAGGGGAAGCTATTCTGAGTCGAACTGAATTTTTAATTTGTAAAGGCAGTGATCTTTTTGAATACGGGATTCTGACGCGATAATTTTCGGATGTAGACAATATTTTACGAGTTAGTAATATTTATTTTTTTGTGAGTAATGAGTAAATAAACGTACAATCAGAGAGTATATGTATTTGCGTGAATGGAGGACGTGGATACTATTGGAGTGTACCATATTGTAAGTAAAGAGAGTCGAAATGAAGGCTGGACAAAGTTCAAGATTGCGGTGGATCTTCAAAAGGAAAATTACAAAACGGGGGACACTTTTAAATTTGCTTTTTCAGAAATACCAAGCCTTGAGTCAAAGTAGAAATTCTAAATTAATAATTAGGAGGGAAAATTGGCCATGTGTGCAAAAGGGAGGGATTTATAACGAGTATTATATAGTGATAAGAGAATTTATGAGAGAAAAATTGAGTTTATAAAAATTGTTATTTTTAAATATATTTGGATCAATATGTATGTGTACACATTCCAATACAGATGGAAATGTTGATAAATTTAAGTATTATTATTTCTAGGTAACAAAGAAGAGAGTTCGTAATTTTACGTAAGTAGCAAATAAATTACTTTACGTAAATGTTTCGTCACCGAATATCTGTATAGACGGTCTATCGGAGTCACATATTTACATTTTTATGATGACGGGGCAGTCTTGGTATAATCTTTGGGCAACAGTCAGGTGAAATAATAAATTAGGAGAATAAATTAAGAAAAAGGTGCCAGGAATGATCCCCAGTCAGATATGACACTTTCGACCAAAACATTTTGAATTTCCCCTTAAAAATTTGTCTCTTGATCCGCCCCTGGCACAAGAATTACATGTTTGGGGTTCGTACCATTCTTTTTTGTAATCTAAGTTCGGGAGCTGTAGGATGTATTCCTCATAATACTATTCTATATCTGAAGCGAGAATGGAAATTCGCGAAATATACGCAAGGAGCAGAATGAAGACTTATAGTTTGAAAGCATTTTGAACGTGTAATACGAGTATAATGAACCTAATTTTGTGTTCAATTCA